GCTGAGACAGCTGCACCACTTCCACTCTGCACACATTTTCTTTCGTTGCCAAGTGTGCACTTGTATTCAGACTCCCACAGGTTCTTAGCCCTCCATCTATGGAAGCAATGCATTMATGGACATTTTAGGTCATTTCTGGATGTGTCAGAGGAGCTGGTGGGAAGCCTTGCTTCTGATAGCAAGGCACATGGGGTGGCTGTCAGCTGCTGGTCCCCGCTTTCCCTAAGCTGCCCTAAATGACATCCCCACCAAAATGCCCAGTACCATAACGGAGAAGGATCCACTTCAGGAGCCACTTTCCCAGTGAAACACCACCTTCAGTAAAAGGTAAGAGCAAAAGCCAGACCCACCTGCCCTTTACCACCCACTCACTCCACCAGTGAAAGAATTAAAGTGGGAGAAGGCKAAAGGAAAACACAGGCAGCTGTGCCCCTGCTGTGCCCCATCAACACAGCTGCCAACACTCTCCTCAAATACACCTAAGGACACACAGCCTCCACTGCAGGCTGCACAGGAAGATGGGCTCCAGACCAACACCTTCCCAGGACACAGAGAGTGCTAAAGGAGGCCACGAGACCCAAGAACACAGCACTGGAAGACACCTATACTGCAGGCAGCCACAAACCAGTAAACAGGCCAATCACTACAGTCACTTTTTATTACAGTTGGAGATGATTGTCAGGAAATGGTTAGATTAAAACAGCACAGATACAAGATTTCCTCACAAGTCAGATTCCTCATATCATCTGATTAGGATTCTCTGAATTTCACTCTGTTGATGCTCTTTCTAGCACTCAGCCTGAAATGGCATGCCAGTCTTACCAACTTGCTAATAAGAATTTCAGAGGATTTGGTCTGTGAATGGAAAGAGCCTTTAAAACAAGTAAGGTACAGCAGAGAACGTTCCAAGATATTATTCCATCACACCCATTCAGAAAAAACTGTGGAGCAAGTGGCTCTTGCCAGCCCTACCATAAAACAGAGCTGCAGCACAGCAGCCCAGTGCCCAGCAGAGAGAGTGCAGGCTTCTCACAAGTATTTAAATATGCCATGTTTTCAGACGCAGCACCCTCAAGGAGTAGGGAAAAAAGCCATTTTCCTTCCCCTTGAATCTCTGCTCTTTAGTGACTACATGCAGTTTGCAATGATTACTTAGTTACTATTTTTAAAAAAAGTTTCTCAGATAGCAGTGACCATCAGATTGACCAATTTAAACAACACACACCACAAAGTATTAGATACCCAAGAAATATTAAGCTGAGTAACTTGCCTGTCTACATTTTTAGGTATAGACAAAATATGTGCGGCCTTACAATAAAATTTTTTTAAAGGTTTGGATAAAAGCAGAAGCTAGCTGCACCTAAAAATGACCCTCGCAACAAAAGGCACTTATGATTGGGTTGCAACTTGCACCATTTTTCCTGCCCTCAAAATCCATTTTTTTAAAGAGCTTAATAAAAGAGAAATTAAAATACTGAAGCAATTGCACACTTTCAGGGTTTTTTTTAATGAACTGTAATATTAATGGATGTGCTGGGCTTTYCTAATCATCATTCAGAATGAAACTGTTCTGGCAGACAGTAAGAAGTGCCCTTCCACAAATACTTCTTACAGGCTGTGGTTCTAAMTCAGAAATAAAACTATATTCCTATTCTCTTCAAAAAGTATTATATTTCTTTTATAAACATCTTGTGAATTCTGGTCTCATTTCCCCATTTTCAGCATTAAGCTTGAAAGAACATAATTAGATGCACAGATAAAGCACAGTTATTTGTGGTTTGGTCTTTTTTTCTAAAAACAATATTCTCCTGAAATAATTTTCTTCCCATTGTGCCACTTTTTTTTTTCCTAAGAAAGTCTTGATCTTTTGAAAACCCTGCCTATTTTCTATGCTATTTTCCCAGAAGCAAAATTATTACAGCCTCTTCCCACACTTCTACTCTGGAGGGCTGATCCTTTAGAGGTTAGATGAGCAAACAAAAAGCCAAGGACATTATCAGTTCCAGCACTCATCCAAAGCCTGACTTTCATCCCACCTCCGTGATCCTGTTTCCGCATTATTTAAGGAGAAAATACTGCAAGTCATGAAGCTTGCTTCATAATGACAGGCTGCTTCAGACAAGAAAAATATTGTGCAATTTGTTTTCTGCAGTGAAAAAAACTGACCTCATATTTCTCCTACCCTCCCTCCTGGGAATTTAGTTTTATCTCTTTTAAAAGTKCAGGTGATTCTGGTGGATTCTTTTTATAAAGAGGTCCACAGAACACTTCTGGMAAGCATGAAGCAGCAGACTGGGATGCAGGGGTTGAAATTCTAGTGCCAGATATGCTTGTGGGTTTTCTTGGCAACAGACCACAGCTACTTATCATTTAACTATACCCTCAGATGATGTTTCTCACTGACTTAGGAAGACCCATGTCCTGGGGTTGGAACATAAAAGCAAAGAATTTAAATTCAAGGGTAATTTGGTGCAACTTCTACCACCATATAGCAGCTGCTATGACAGGTTTGGGGGGGGGGTTCTTTTTTTCCTTTAATCCCTCCTTCCTCACACCTGAGAAAGACACTAAAGCAATATMATGGGAGCAAGAAGCGAAAGAACTAATCAAGATCAACTAATCTTAACCTCACTGAAGATTTCACGTGTTTTCTCCAGCAAGMGACAACATAAAGAACGTCTGTTCAGGCCATACAGTTGTGTGCTTCAACAATCATCATTCTTCCGTGTTCAGCTACTGATGGTTTAGGACAGTGGCGCTGCAGCAACACTCAGTGTGTGTCTCCCGATACTTCTGATGAGGACTTACTGGCAGAGTCTCCCATAAAAGCCTCAGGGTATAACTGAGGCTYATAGCTAACACCCCTCCGCAGAACGCATCTACCTCCACTGACAGCTACTGGGAATATTTCCAAAACGCTGTCTTTGGTGCTCTTTGGGGACCCACTATCTAGCTAATAAATACAGGGAAGTCAGAAGTTTCCTTCAAGCACACTAAAGCAAGATAGGAACTAGAAGCTAGTGCATGCTGGAAAAGAAGAAACTGCCTTAGAAGGCCCCAGAATTAGTCTCCAAGGAAAAAAAAGGGGGGGAGAAAGAAAGTATTTTTACTGTATAACCTTAACTTGAGAGATACTGACTCAGTGTTGAAACAACCTCTTCCCTGCAGTTCTTCTGARCTACCCGTGAGAATACAATAAAGTTAGTCCTTATCAATCATCTACAAGTTTAGCAGAAGAGATCAGCATCTCAATTTCCACCTGACAGAAAGACTTGAAGGGAAAAAACCACAAACGACCACAGAATAAAGTAAACACTAATTACACTCCACTGAAAACATGTACTATCAAGYCTAAATTTCTACAGTTAGGTTTAAAAACAGTCTTGAAAATTGCAACCCCCCCCACTTCTGCTTTAGCATTTCTGAATTAATTGGCTGATGACAACTTATTTTTATATTCAATATCAAAACGTTACAACTCTCACAGTTTACGAGAGCACAGAATTTACCGAGCAAGAACGTGTCTGACAAAAATGAAGAGATGCAGACCACAGAGAATAAACCACAGTGGAATATTCCACTGAGAACAATTAAGCAGCCTCTCATCATCATTCCCCTGTGTTGGGGGGCTGGCGGAAGGAATGGGGGTTTCTCGAGCGTGTCCCAAGGCCCCCGCAGCCCGGCACACCCCGGCCGGGCGGTGACACCGTGCCCGCTCCAGCGCTGCGCTGTGCCGGGGGGGCCGCCCGCTGCATCCCGCTGCCTGCGGCTGCACAAACGCGCTCCCAGCACGCCTACGGCCAGCTAACACAATGGAAACGCAGCCGTGAGGGACAGATTCATTTTATTGTTGAGAAAGCGCTACGGTACCCCCGAGCGGCCCGGTGTGGCAGGCCGATCGGGGCAGCCCCGTTTGCGCGGACCCGCGGCCGCCCGGGCGCTCGGTGAGGGCCGGCCGCAGCCCCTCCGGGCCGGGACGCGGGGCCGGGCCCGCCGCCGTGCCGCTGCCCGCTCCCGGGCGGGCTCGGGGCGCTCCGAGGCACCTTCTGCCGGCAGCGGGGAGGGGCGGCGGGCCGGCCGAGAGCGGCGGGCAGGTGAGGGGCGCGGGGCCGGGGAGGAGCGGGGCGGCGGAGGGCGGAGGGGCGCGGTGCCGCCGTACTCACCGCGCGGGCCGGCGCGGAGCCGCGGCCGCACTTCCTGCGTGCTCGGAAATGAGCGGGCGGGACCCTCCGTCGCGCCGCTTAAAGGGGACGGGCCGGCCGCCCCCGACCGCCCCCGGGGCGGGACCGGGTCCCCGCGCAGTCCCGCGGGGTAAGCGGGGCCGCCGAGCGGCAGCACGGGTCGGGCCGTGGGTCCTCTCTCTCCGTCTCCCTCTCTCCGCCCCGCGGCGCCTTCGCTCCCCGCTCTCCTGAGGCGGGGGCGCGCCGGGCGAGGCGAGGAGTCCGCGGCTGAGGGCGAGCGTGGGGAGCGCATCGCTGCACCCCTCAGCGCAGTGCCGGCCCCTCAGCGCATCGCTGCACCCCTCAGCGCAGTGCCGGCCCCTCAGCGCATCGCTGCACCCCTCAGCGCAGTGCCGGCCCCTCAGCGCATCGCTGCACCCCGTGCCGGCCCCTCAGCGCAGCGCCCCGCGCCCCGAGCGCTGCCGGCCCCAATGCCCACCCGGACCGTGTTTAATCCTCGCTGCCCACTCGGACCGTGTTCAATCCCCGCTGCCCACCCGCACCGTGACGCTGCGAGCCGCGGCACTGCCCAAACACCGACAGCGCTCGCTGCTCTGCCAGCTCCGCAGCTCCGTGGCTCGCAGAGCAGCAGCAGCACAGTGACGCTGCTTTCTCAAATGTTAGCAAAACCCCGGAACGGTGATGGAGCCTTTATGCTGGAAGCCACAAGCAGAATTTRCCAAGCATTATTTTCTACTTATCCAAGTATTTATGTACAGTTCTGTATTTCCAGAAGAACATTTCGTGACACAATTTTTTTTTTAATTATTAGTTTTCTGCGGTGTTTGACCCGAAAAGAAGCCAAGTTTAGGAACTCATGCAGCTTCCAGTCATGTGCATGAATGGTGGCCCGTAAGAGTTTGAAAGGATAAAGCTCAGGCAGCAGGTAAGGTAGTAATGTTCTTCCACAACTATGTATCAAATGGTTTTGATCCCGCTTGTCAAAAACAGAGTCAGAGAAAGCCGGTAAAGGCTTATTCTGTAAAGACCTGCACCCCCTAATTTGTCTCACTGCTGGATTGCCTGTCACTGCTTAMGTGCCTGGAAGACGGGCACTCAGGGCTTTCCAGGACAGAGCCCCCAGTGGTCTGAGCAGCACAGGCTGCATCCTGTCACAGTATTGCTCTGTCGAGTTCTACACCCCATTTAGCACAGAGCAGCCCTTTGTCTTCAGGCAGGCAGAAACCCATTTGTTCATAAATAGCTAYACCACACAGCGTGGGAGGGGGCTGGATGTCCAAGGACCAGATCTGTTCAGTCTAGATTTCAAGCCCTCAGGCAGCAAAGGTCTTTCCAGGGAATACCTTAAATGAACACTTGGCTGGTGTGACTAGCCATCCATCCAGGCACTTTCCTATCCACTGAAACTTGTCACGATGCTAATCACCACTTTAGGTATCCATCAAAAATATACTTGAAAAGTATATTCATAGAAGAGAGTTATGGTGAGATTTAAAATATTCATATGCACTCCTCAAACTWGGTAAATGTGGTTTCATTACTCTTTTAAAACCATATGTAAATATACTATTTTAAATCTGACCTCATGCAAAGTTTCAGTATTGCATGTTAGAGATGACWGTTGACTCTCCCTCAGCACCTGCTTGTCTTTGTTGTGGATAACAGGTAGGAGTTCAGTAGACACCCGTGTTATTTTACTGACATGGAGACYGCAGTGTTCTGTAGACATAATATCATTTGGGAAGTACAAGAAGATAACAGAATGGAAATAACAAATTACTGATTTTTCTTAACTAGTGCTACAGTGTAGATCTGAAACAAACTGACAACCCTGCAGCACCCACGGGTTGGTCTACAGAGAGCAACCAGACACTGAGTATTGTCCTTCAGGCTTCCCAGGTACCACCTTTCTGCACATGAGCTCGTTGCTGCTATGTGGGGAGATCTCTACAGGGCCTTCCAAGAGATTGTACACAGAATACTTTTTTTTTTTTTTTTTTTCTGTAAGTGCCAATTTCCTCTGTTTACTAGAATTCCTTCACTACCAGAAAGGTTGTTTTTTTTCCAGATTGAGAGGAGGAAAAAATAGATTTCTTAACCTCGAGTAGAAGCAACATGGGTACTCATAGTCATCTCTGTTTGAAAGGTCTACCATGTCAGGAAAAAYGATGAGTTTGATGTTATGGATAGTTTCCTGATTCTTTTATAAGAATGGGCAGTTCTAAGATTAAACATTTCTTCATAACTCAGACTTATATTTATGCTGACAGATGTTATAGTTCCTATTTGGTGTTAATCTTACAGGCCTACAGAGGAATTCCCACATTGTTTGAGAATAAAGCAGGCAATAAAACATTTAGGAAATGTCTGTGTTTTAAGGTACAATTCATTTCAACCTGGGGATTTTTCTTAGACAGGTAACTGCAGACCTCCTAGCATCTGAGAGCAACAGTATGTGCGTGTGTATATATAAATATATAGATGCGTGTGTGTATATATATATATATATATATATGTAATACAGCTTTGAATGTTCCTAAAATATTGTGATCTTATTGTGCTAGGATGGTTATTTGAGAGAAGACTTTAAAAATGGTTCACTAAACTTAGCTGAACACTGTTCTTAAATTGGTACAGTTAGGGGAAAGGAAGTGGCTGGCTGGCAATAGTTTATTCAAAAAAAGAAGAGTTTTCCAGAACAGCATTAGCTCCAGCCTCTAGTGGTTTTGGTTTTATTTTTCTTTTTTGTGCCTTTTTTTTTTAAGCATATGTGTGGGCTGGAGGGGAAGAAACAAAAGAAAAAGAGAGAGAAGAGCTGATCTGAGGACATGATACCAAAGTGGAGTAATGTAAATGAGACCAAAGGAGAAAAGAAGAAAAGCAATCCTTCAACAAAGGATATTTTTGTTCCTGAGCCAAAATAAAACATGCATATAGAATAAGAAAAATGGTCCATTATTTTGCCTGAAAATTCAGAGCTTTAATTGCCAAACAATAGTCATTAGTTTGCCTTGACACAARGCTTTTTGTCAAATACCACGGCTCAGCTTTATTGACGGCACAATTCCAACATGATCCCATGAGAAGCCGCTTTCTTTTTCCTTAAGTGTAGCAAATTATTTATAACAGATACTGAACAATGCAACCAAAATCATGAAGAATTTTCAATAGCCTGAAATCCACCCTCCAAAAATATTTTAATCATCTTGATTTTTATCCCTTAAAATCCTCAATCTGAGCTCCTTACTGAGTTACACTCTCCAACCCTTTGTCACCAGTCCTGTCCAAGTGCATCGTGCTGCTGTGGGCAGTGAAACCAGGGGTCTTGAGTACAGTGAACTCATATCTGCCTTGGGCCATGTCCAGCTTGACCTCAGGCTCTGCTGGCAGTGCTGCAGTGCCAGCACCAGCTGGCTCACTGAAAGCCCGGTCCAGGGCTTGTTTTGTACCTCTGAAAGGACACAGGACACTGTCTTGCTGTCATTGTGGGGTTTCTATGATGTGTATTAAGGGTGCTTGAAATGYTGGGATATTTTACCTCACTCCTTTCAGAGACTGAAATGATCTCTTAACTTACCATAGATTTAGGAAAGGCAGTACATATGTAAAATCAGTTCGTACCAATATACCATGCAAAAATCTTCCTGTATTTATTGTTACTGTGCCCTTAATTTTGCATTGAACAATATTTTCTTTTTGTAAATGCCTGGGCTTGTGGTCTCTACATCTTTGAGTSCTGAAGGACTACATTTTTTCATGTAGTGTTTTGGGATCAAATAAATAGCAATTCTTTGATATTATAATGCTCTGAAGTTTGGACTCAGAAGCATATAATTTATATAATGTTTGGGAAATGAACTGCTATGGATTGCTCTTTTCSTGTTGTTTTGGGATCACAGTTGCTAAATTACTTCCTTTCAAAAATTRTCATTAGAAAACAGTATCAACCAACTTTAAATTTATATAGAGTCCTTTCATACATTAAAGCAGACTCAGTAATTATGGTACTAATTCATGAAAGTAGAAGACATTCCTTATCATAAAAAAAAATCAATACAAGCACAGCTGTAAGTAAATGTAAATAAGATTCAGTTTTATCTACTATCTGAAAAAGCTTTCTTTTGATAACAGAAGTGCTTATTCTAGTCCACTTTTTTCTTTGAATAGTGATAGTTTAGCAGTAGTAYAAGCATCTGGAAAAAGTCTGTGGAAGGATATATCAGAATTCTTTGGATGCAATCTCTTCAAATAACTTCTTATTTTTGAAACAGATATATAGTTGCTGTTAGCAACAAGTGTTTTTTGAGCCCTGTGACAGTAACAAATGGATTGTGGAAACATTCCCGTACCACATGTACCGTGTCGCTCTGGCTGGTGCCTTGGGGGAACAGGAGCACAGCAGGGAGTGCATGAAGTGCCTGAGCTCTGCTGCTGCTCCAGCTGACAGCAGCAGGCAATATTCTGCAGTGATGGCTGATCATTTTTCCTGGCCATGTGGCCTTATTTTTCCTGGCAGGAACTATGGGTTCCTGTGCAGGGTTCCACTGCTCACTCACAGCTGCACCAGGGTATCACATCGGCAGTAACGACATACACGGAAAGTAATCCATGCAGGTAGTGCTGGAATTCTATATTGGTTTAGTTCTGACTATTCCAAAATATCTTTACTACATAGCTTCTGTCTRATGGTACCAAGAAGTGCTGTAGGCCGTTTTGGGCATTTCTCTAGAAAGAAATTTTGTCACAAATATACTGAATGCAAAGCAGCTCTGAAACAAAGTCCAACCATATTCCGTGCCTAGAATGGAGAACAAATAGGAGGGTTTTGACTGGACAACTCAGTGTTATGCAAAACATACTAAAAATTACTCATTCTTTTTTTTTTTTGTCCTCCAGTACTGCAGAACAATAACCTATAAAAACCATAAAGTAATATATTTAAAATCAATCCTATTAAATGACTTTTCAGACTGTAGACTTGACTACCTGTGATGCAGCAAGAGAAGTAAGTTAAAATGTTCTATATATGAGATTTAAGCCAGACAATCTTTCATAACACTCCTTGTTTGATGAGATAATATAAATTATCAAGGGCTTTTGGTTGTGTTTTTTCTGTGCTTGAAAGCCTCATGCACCAAAGTTCCAGTTATTCACATATATACTGACAGTAAATGCAGTATCTATAGAGGGTAATATTGGGGCTTCCTTAATCTGAGGGGTTTCATGTTTTATACAAAATACTCAGTATATCAGCATTTAATATGTGTTACTGCATAATCAGGTGTACCCACCGACCTGTCCAACCGTCAGTAAAACCACCACCACCTTCCACCAAAATAAAAACAAAATTGAAGAAAGGCACAGTACAGAGAGGCTCATCCATGCTGACAGCTCAGCAAACAGTACAAAGCCAGTGTTAATTTCTTTGTTCAATAGACAGGACTAAAGACTAAAAAACTTGCCTTGTTCATCATCCATACTGGGCTGGTCCATTATTTGCAATATTTATCTATTCCACTCCAGTTTAAAGGTTTGGGGTTCTTTTCTAGTGTTAGCTAAGGCTTGTATGTCACTGCCCAAAAACCATCTCCCTCCCTTTGACTGAAAACTCCAACCAGTTCATAAAATAACTTATTTATTACTCTTATTTCTGGTACCATTCACTGTTGTGTATCCATTATTAAAATGTGCTTAGGTGCAATATTTTTCATTTTTTTAAACTCCTTCCATAAAATAGCATGAAAATAATAATAAAAATCACCTCACTACTTAGGTTTTATTAGTAATACTTCACCAGTGACTGAAAACCTCTCACAGGGTTGAAGAAGTGTAAGATAGGGCAAAAGGAAGGTAGAACCTACACTATTTCCTCATCAAGAGAGGACCACAGAATATCAACAACCAGAAAAAAATACAGTACCTCAGTTCAGCAGCTGAAAATACTATTGTTAGATTTTCATGGAAATTAGCCTCTGTTCCTGTAGTGCATAAAAGCAGTGGCTGATTTTGGAAACGTGTTAAAGTATGCTATTGGGAYTTAACTATTACCATTATAAAACCAATTGGTAAAGATGAACTGATTTGCAAAGTCAGGATTTAAATGTCACTACCTTCCCAGCAGTCTTACAAGCTTCTCTTTAATTGCTGACTTGTAATGATTGTTTTATCTTCATTAAGAAAAGGTTTTGCTAATGCRCATCTTACAATGACTCACATCTGTTGGTAAAATGAAACTCCAAATCAGATTAATTCAAAGCAAGATTTTACATTAGAAATGCAATCACAGGAGARCTGAACAGCAAGATACTTTGAAAATCACTTGAATTTGTTCCCACTCCTTCTCAAGAGCAAGGAAAATGTGTTCCTGCTTCTCCTTTCCTGTCCCTATTTTTAGAAMTAGAATGAGAAAGACCTGATCTGTCAGCTTGCATCCCATTTAAATTATGGAATATCAGGTTCAGAAGTATTTACTAGATGGAATTGAATAGTTACAAATGACATTTCTATTCCAGTTTCATTCTCTTTTTAATTTAAATTTAAAGAATGTCAGTTATCAGTCCTGGCACTGTGCTAGACAAGCAAGGATTTGCACTATTTCAAAAAACAAGTCATAGCTATGACATGATAAGCATGGAGATAAGAAGTTTTTTAAATTGAAGAAGCTGTGTGCAAGCTGCGATTAAGTTACTGATGTACTCTCACAACATGAAGATGTTYACTACAAGTGCAGACAAATGTAAATTGTAAAATTTGGCCACGTGTGGGAGGTGAAAGAAGTAGCTTAACTTGTGAATGCTAAAATGTTGCTGATAATTTTGTCTGTTTTCAGCTCCCCCTGAGCTAGGCTTAAATCTTGTACAAGGTCTTTACTGTAGATATGGTGGCTTTTAYAGCAATAAGGGTAATATGTGCTATTCCTATCACTGCATTTCAAGGTTTAATACCCTTTAATAATATTCTGCCAAGTACTGCCTAGTAAATATAATTATCRTTTGAAACAGTAACAATTAAAAGCTAGCTCCAGTTTAAGGTCTAGCATTTCAAAACATGCATTTCACATTTTCTAATGTGACTAAACCATAATGGAGACTCAGTAACCCAACAGAATTGATTCCATTAACATTAYTTCTATTTGGTTAAAAAGTTGTCTCTGATGGTAACTTGTTGCAGCCTAATTTGATTGCTTACTTTATCTTTGTGCATGTAAAAATGGTGATATTTTGCAGTAAATATTTGCAGATATTCTTGGTAGTATTTTTAGAAAAACTCACATCATTTGTTTTTCCTCAGCATTTAACAGACTGTCACAGTTCATTTTAACAAATGATCCTGGAAAAACAATGCTGGATGAGACCTCCGACAGCAATGTTTTAAAATAAAAATCCTTACAGTTAGCATAAACTTTATGCCTTTTTAATTGCTGTCTGAACCAGGCCACTGTTCAGAAAGCCTCTGCACAGGAAAAACAGTAAGCATTTGAATGTTTTCCCAACTCAATGCTAAAATCTCCCTCAATTATTTATACCCTGTACCAGAAAGAATAATTCTTGTCTTCTGCTGTCAGATCAATCACTGACACTCCTGACCACACAAAAACAATCTTGGAGAACAGCTAACGCTGCTTGTTTCTCGCTGGCTGGTTCTTGAAGCTCTGTACTCATTAAAAAAAATAGATTATGAATCTGGTATTCCTGGACCTTTTCATAGAATTTTCCCCCATTTCAGTCCTTAAAAKGCTCTTCCAAGCTTTTTAATCCTCCAAAGATGAACATTTTTTTAGCTTGCTCCAGGAATGAGCTCAGCCCTCACTCTCAGCCTCATCTGTCCCATCAGCCACCCCTCACTTGGGATTCCACCCTTTTGACATGTGCTTTCCCAACAGACATAAGGCTGTAAAGATTTTATTCCAAATCTCTTCCCTTTTTTGGTGAAATACTCTTGAATTAA